GCCACAGCAGCCAACTTCACTGACGCTCAGGCAAGCAAGCAAGCAAAGAGGCAGATTTGTTTCGGGAAAGAAAAAAGCTTATTGAAGAGAAAGAAAAGGAGTAGAAATAAAGTGGGACTCCCAGGCCTGTGTAACCAGGCCAGGGAAGGGCAAGGAAGCAGAAGTGGAGCCGTGTCCCAGGGAATATAGACCTTCTTTCCCTAATAATTCTAAAGCTCCACCAGTCTCTTTGTGATTGGTTAATTCTTGGTGGGCTCACTTAATCTGCTCCTGTACTTGGGATCTTTCTGCATCACATCCCTTATCTTTTATCATCCTTGATCCAGGATGTTGCCCTTATTGCTCCTAGTCCTGGGGAGTTTGACTAGCTCCCTTCGGAATTTGTTGCCCTAATCTCTGGAGCCTTCCTTAACTCTCTTGAAGTCCCTGCACTGCCCTGAAGCTGCCTAATTATCCCAAACTTGCCCTAGGACTTAGTGCCCTGAGGAATAAGTCAGATTTCATTTTATACAAGGTAATAATGTATGCATTTTATTTTTTTAAAAGATTAATTTTTATTGATTTATGCGTACAAGAACTGGGGTGTAGGCCAGAGGTGCCAGGGTGAGAGGATTTACCAGAGACAGAGTGGGGAGCAGAACAGCAGATCTACTGAGATACACTGCTGAGGAGAACAGCCCACAAGTCAGGAGAGGTCTGCTGAGCCATGTGAGTCAGCTCCTGGCCAGGGATCAAAGTCATGCTGCAAATGGCTGGCCATAGCTTGATAGCTGAAATTTTAACCCCTGTGCCACCAGGGAGGTCTCAGAGTGTGCATTTTAAAGAAAGGGTCAAATCAAAGTTACAGGAAGATAGCTGATCACTACCTGGAATTTAAGGGGACACCTTGGAAAGATGGCAAAGAAGGCAGAGTAAATGATTGGGGTGAGTAATAATAGTGCAGAGCAATGTGTTTGGCCATTCAGGTGATTGCTGAGGGACTTATACTTCGAGTGAAGAGTAATCACCAAGACAAAGCAGAAACTGATGTATGTTGTGGTTTTTTTTTAATTTATTTTTTATTTATGCAAGAACGGGGGTACAGGCCAGAGGTGCAGGAGGGTGAGAAGATTCACCAGAGGCAGAGTGGGGAGCAGAACAGGCAGATGACCGAAATACACTGCTGAGGGGAGCAGCTAGTGAGACAGGAGAGGTCTGCTGCTCCATGTGGGACTCACCGTGGCCAGCCAGGAATCGAACCCACGCTGCAGAGGCTGCAGAAAGCTTCACAGCACTGCTCTCAACCCACAGCACCACCGGGGAGGCCCTATATGTTGTGTTTTTTTTCTGAGAGGTACTTGTGGGAGAGTTGGCCTCTGGCAATACAGAGTAAACTATGGTTGGAAGTGAGGCTCAGCAGGTAGAATCCGGTTTCCTATGATCCATTGCCTGGTATTGATAGCTGCAGGGAAAGCAGCTGCAGTGTTGGTAGCTGCCATGGAGTGAGCCAATCTTGCTTTTCTTTCTGGCACTGATTGGGGTATCTAGACAAAAATGTACATATGGTTGGGCCTCCCCTGGTGGCACAGTGGTTGAGCGCTGGGCTGCAAAGCTGCCCGCAGCCTTTGCAGCGCCAGTTCAATCCCTGGCCACTGGGTGAGGGTCCCACATGGCACACAGACCTCTCCTGCCGCCTGCTGCTCCCCTCAGTAGTGTACTTTGTCAGTCTGCCTGTTCTCTTCTCTGCTCTGGCTCTGGTGAATTCTCTCGCCCTCCTGTGCTTCTGACTGTACCCAGTGCTTGTATAAATAAATAAATAAATAAATCTTTAAAAATAAAAAAGAAGAAAAAGAAAATGTACATATGGTTTGTGTTTCATGGGACTACATACCATTTACCATATTATAAAAAATTACATCATTACACTACTATTTTTTTAAAAAGATTTATTTATTTATGCGTACAAGAACTGGGGTACAGGCCAGAGTTGTGGGAAGTGAGAGGATTCACCAGAGACGGAGTAGGGAGCAGAACACGCAGATCAACTGAAATACACTGCTAAGAGGAGCAGTGGCCATGTGGGTCAGCTCCCTGGCTGGCAGAGGTTGCTGCAGAGGTTGCTGATAGCTTCATCGTGCTGTGCTTAACCCCTTGCATCACCAGGGAGGCCCCTACACTGCTGATTTTTAACAAAATGTTAAAAGTAATTTTGTTCTCCCAGAGGACAATTTGGCAATATTTATTATAAACATTTAAAAAATACATTTAAAAGACTGGCAAACTTAATTGTCCGTCAACAAGGTGCTAGTTAAAGTTATGTGAAGGAGGAAGCTAGGAAATAGGTATCAGTTAGGAACAGGGTGCCCCAGGGAGGGCGCCCTTCCCCACCACATACAGACCCTAAAGCCCTGGATCCATTTATCAGTCTGATTAGACTGTTCAGAATACCAACACAATGTTAAAGCAACAGACTAAGGCTAGTTTCGGGGAGGTAGGCCAGGTTAAGTGGGCAAAGTCAGTGGGTCTGAGTATTGTAGGAGAATCCCACAGACCCAGCCAATCAGCAAGAGACATAATGTGGAGATACCCAACAACCTAACCTCACTCCTGGCCTGTTATACCCATATAAGCACCTACTTCTCCCCACCTCAGGGGCCACCCACTTGGGACCCCTCTCCACTCAGTGCTTTCCTGTTCTTGTTCCTACCTACCTATCAAAAAACCACTTGCTTTTCTGAAACTTTGGCCTCAATGTTTAATTCTTTCCTCACCAAAGATGAACCGAGAAAGAGCCTACCCAGGGTCCTTGAACTCTAGGCCTGCACACCAAAACCCAAATTCATACATTTGTCCATGAAAGAGAATTATACCTTAAGTTCAATTAAATTTGTTTCCTGAGGGCCTCCCTGGTGGCACAAGGGGTTAAGCACCGCACTACAAAGCAATCTGAAGTCTCTGCAGCATGAGTTCAATTCCTGGCTGGCCAGGGAGCAACCCACATGGTGCAGCAGACCTCTCCTGTCTCCCACTGCTCCCCTCAACAGTGTATTTCAGTCAGTCTGCCTGTTCTGTTCCCTGCTCTCTCTCTGGTGAATCCTCTCACGCCCTGCATCTCTGGCCTGCACCCCAGCTCTTGTATGCATAAATAAATCTTTAAAAAAAGTTCGTTTTCCTGAAAAAAAAAAAAAAAAAAAAAAAAAAAAAAGGCCCACCAGGGCCTCCCTGGTGGTGCAGGGGGTTAAGACACAACCTATGAAGCTGTCTGCAGCCACTACAGCATGAGTTCGATCCCCAGCCAGGGAGCTACCCATATGGTACAGCAGACCTCTCCTGCCTCACTCGCTGCTCTCCTCAGCAGTGTATTTCAGAAAGTCTGCCTGTTCTACTCCCCAACTGTCTCTGGTGAATCCTCTCCCTGGCCCCCATATTTCTGGCCTATACCTCAGCTGTTATATGCATAAATAAATAAATCTTTTTTTTTTAAAGATTTATTTTTGAAGATTTATTTTTGAGGATTTATTTTTAAATCTTTTTTTTTTTAAAGGTTTATTTATTTACGCATACAAGAACCAGGGCACAGGCCAGAGGTGTGGAGGGTGAGAGGATTGGCTACAGACAGAGAGGGGAACAGAACAGGCAGATTGACTGAAATACACTGTTGAGGGGAGCAGCAGATGAGGCAGGAGAGGTCTGCTGCGCCTTGTGGGTTGCTCGCTGGCCAGGCATCTAACTCAAGCTGCAGTGGCTGGCAATAGTTTGATAGCACTGTCTTTAACCCCTGCACCACCAGGGATGGCCTGGAGGTTTAAAAAGCACAGTTGTCTTGTGAGGTGGATGTTTAGTTAGAATGTTGATTGAACTATGTAACAGAGAACCAAATAATGAAAAAGAATACTTATTTTTAAAAGATTTTATTTATTTATTTATTTATACAAGCACTGGGCACAGTCAGAAGTGCTGGAGGGTGAGAGAATTCACCAGAGCCAGAGCGGGGAGCTGAGCAGGCAGAAGGACCGAAGTACATTGCTGAGGGTTGCAGCGAGCGGCAGGAGAGGTCTGCGCGCTATTGGGGACCCTCCTCCGGTGGCCGAGGAGCAGCCGGGGATGGAACCGGCCCCGCAGAGGCCGCGGGCAGCCTCGCAACCCAGCGCTCAACCGCTGCGCCACTGGGGAGGCCCAAGAATACTTATTTTTCTCTCATTGGAAAGACCAGGTTGTTAGGGGGTTCAGGAGCATGGATCATCAGGAGTCCAAATTTCTCCAACTTTGCTGTCTACTAGCCCATAAGGTGTTCTCTATGTCTGTAAGGTCAGTCTAGTTCACATGTCTTCGTTTTAGTCAGTCAAGGAATGGAAAATGTAGTCTCTAGTTACACAGGTAAACCTGGGAGGAGATGGTACTGGGGGATGGAATTGTTCAATCACTAGAAGGAAGAAGAGGATTACATGGTGCTAATTTCAAACTGAATGAACTTAAAGGTATTTATTTTTCTGTAATATTTGCTATACTACTATAACCTGATCGTCAATGTAGTTTTTTCATTACAAATTAAAAACAATGCACCAGGAAGTCAACTTTTAAAAACTGTTGGCATATGGTGTTCATGAATACATTTACTGACTACAATCAATAATGAATAAAGATATACCCAAAGGCAGGGATGAGAGATGTAAGTTAAATAACAGCTCTGCCAATTACTAGAGTTGTGATTTAACCACTTTAAACTCCAAAATTGATTTGTAAAATAAGGTTGATAAGCGTCTTTACTAGCGTCAATGTGAGCATCAAATAATTTGCATGAAATGCAAGGTTTTTATTTATTGGCACATATTAAGGACTCCATAAATGTGGCCATCTTGAATTTGTGTTGAACATAATTCATACATTTGGTCATATCCAAATATTAAATCTAATAGTTCTCTGTAGTTTAAAATGTGTACTTTATGGCATATTGCTTTTTTCAAAATATGATTTTGAAAAGGAAAGAAAAATTAAACTACCAAGTGCAAAATAGAAGTATAAAATTTATTTAAAACCACCCACAAAGTTCTGTGTAATCAGGAATGATACAATTTGCAATAGTTTTTTTAAAAACTCATGACAAAGATTTAAAATATAATTTCAATTACAGTATTCATTTAGCCTTATTCAGTTAGAACAATTTAAAAAAAAGAAAACTTTATGCTCTAAACAAATGAGACACACAAGGAAAATATAATAGACAAATTCCACAACTATCTTCACATGTATGTTTCAATACTAGTACATTTCAATGCATTTTGCTACATAAACATGAAATCATGTACAACTGCTGTGCACCAAAATTTAGCTTAATTAGGTCTTTCAAGTAACATGCAATTCCAACTCACAAGTCTTCAAGTACTGCTAGTAAGTGTTCCCTAGTCCGCAGAGCACTACATGTTGATTGAACTCATCATAATTAAGGTTGTTTTTCCCTTCTACATGGTGAAGTGCTTTTTCTTGAAACTGTTTCCTCCATATGTTAAGAACCAAAAACAGATATTCATGAAATTTAAAAACCTTTTACTTACTAACTTATTTCATTGTATGGGATATTTAGTACAGCAGGACAGTGATAGGTAAAAATAAATTGCCCAAAGCAAAAAAAAAAAAAAAAAAAAAAAAAGTATAAAATAAATAGGAAATACACCCCAAAGAGAGAAGCTAGTAGTTTGGGATAAGAATATTAGCTTGTGTAATTGATACTCTATTAGGAATTCAGTACCACTATTTCACCATGCTGAAGAATTTACATATTTTACTTTCACTAGTGGTAAGCACTCCGTCATCTTTGAACCAAAGTATAGATATGTGTGTGAGTCTACTTGGTAGGTCACCATACAACATAAGAGAGAATGAAGAAACTAGAAATTAATGCTTTTCTTTCTTCCAAGTAGTTCTGCGAGTTTTTCTTTAGGGAATACTTTAGGATTTCTTACTAAAGATGAACATCCACCCATACATTACAATGCAAAAGCTGCCCTTCATTTTTACTATAAAACCATTTCTGAAAAAATATTTCTCTTAAAGCACCTATAACAATGTTATCTCATAAAAGTTAAAAAAAAATATGACCATACATAGCGATAAAAAATATTTAATCTTTGCTTTTTTTTTTTAAAGAGCTGTTTTTGTAAAGTCCTATGTTATCAGTCATCTTACAATATTACAAACAGGCATTACTGAGGTTAGGCAAGTAGTTTATTTGATAATTTAGGGTTGTTTGGCCTTGGTTTTTCTGTAGTAAACCCTATAATCTGATGGAATAGTCAATACCTGCCTCTTTATAAAGAGCTTACTAAAAACTTTACAAGCACATCTCATTTTTCTTAACTCCCTGGGCAAAGGTATGTTTAAGCTTTGACCTAGAGATTTTTTTTTTTTGTGGCTGGAAACAAAGTGGAACCAACAACAACAAAAATTCAAATAAGAGGGAGACAGTACTATCTCTTAGAGATGCCAACAATTTTTTTTTTCATTATGAGTGCCAGGCAACTGAAATTATCAGTTTACCCAGCAATTTCTCTTCAAGAAACCTGTACTTCAATGTAACAAGCACATTGGACTTTATGAGCTGCTGATCTTAGTCTTTTTAAAAATAATAAAAAAAACCCAATTATTTAGGTTTCCCCACATTAGTAGTACAGGGACATTCTTTATACATTTGATCTTAGCCAAAAGGCTGAGACATGATGGGGACATTCTTTATTAAAAAAAAGATCTTTATGGAGGAAAATAAAATTTGTTCATTTAAGCCTTGATGTACAAGTCTGGGGAATCTGGGAGAGATCTTCTGAAGTATGCATCAGGAAGTAGCCGGACAAATAAATAGTGAAACAAAACAAAACAAAACACTTCAGAAGCATCTTTTGCATACACTAAATAGATTTTATATTACTTTACATTAGGCCTGACAAAATTTCTACTTGATAACACTCTGTAAGTCATAGTTTATGGTGCAGAAATGCTTTTAGCAATCTGCAGATATTAAATGTTATGGTGTCACATGGATTGACTTGTAATAAGACATTTATTTTTGCCAATCTGCAGGTTCCTTACCAGTAAAATGGGAATATCACTTTCAGTTCAACCCTCGGTGTTGGGAAGAAAATAGTGGCATATAGTAAGGCAGTTCAAAAATCTAAAACATTATAAAGTACAAGGATTAAAATTTTTACTACCATACATGCTTTCAAAATGGTTCCTCATTTTGAGCTATTTTCTAGGTAAATTGATATGAAGTGGGGAGAAATATTAAAAATATTTCTTGTTGTTGAACTGATAGAGTGAACTGATTGGATTGGAACACAATTCTCCCAACTTCCTGCCCATTAACTTCCCCCCATTGTGCTCAAAAAAGGTTCTGACATAGCCCATCTTTAAGAATTCTTCCAATTATTTCCAGTCCATTTTAGACATTTCTCACTCAGATTACAGAAACGTTCCCATTATTGCCAACAACCAAATTCCAAAGGGGTGAATTTACATTAGAAAGTAGCTACCATTCACAAAATTGGGTGGAGAACATGCAAAAAATATACCATCTATTCTACTGATCAGACCTGTTACTAATTCAAAGTCACTGGTCAATTTATAATTAGTATGATGCATAATACAGAAATAGCAAAGCCATACAGAAATAGTGCTAGAATATTTAACTTCTTATACAACTTTTTGTAAAATACTCAAGCACAAATGGATGAGTTGAGGTCTTATGATCACTATTTCTAAGCTTAATTTGCCCTTCACTAAGTGGCTGAAAAAAACCTCGATTCTTTTTGGTGTGATTCCTAAAAGGATTTGCAAAATGTGATTTTTCAAAAGATAGGAAACAACAACTTGACCAAGACCACTGCTATTCTTAAAGTGAACCATGTATTTGTGTAGAGGTTGTGGGGAATGGAGACAGAACAGAGGGGAAGGGACAAAAAAATTTTTAAAGAAAATCAGAGTAAAGGATAAAAACCCTCAAAAGGAATGAAAATACTACACTAGTGACATTGCAGCATCAGTAAAACGAAAACAGAAAAATAACAACAAGCGGGGTTTCTAGTGAAAGATGTTGTTACCCCATGCAAAATGGAGAAGAAACCGTTACTTTCCAATATTGTTTCTCCTCAGATGAAAATGTTTCTGACAGCTGCAAGATTTTTTTCTGATGAATAAGACAAGAGAGAACGCTTTTCCTAACAGCTGCTAGGGACTAAACTTCTATTTTTAGGGAAACCAGGTTTATACTTTAACCAGGGTTTCCAGAGTTGCACTCCAATGAGTTAAACCAGCTAATATATTTAATGTCTGAATAACATTTCTACCTCATATCAAGTTTGGCTTTAATTTAGAAGACATCCTTGGCTAAAAACGAGAAGAAAACTTCCAACCAAGGTAGGATCAAGGCTATCACAGCAGGGTTTGCAAAGGAGCACAGTCAACAGAGGAAAGATTAATGTTGGATTTCTGAAGCAAGAAATAGTAAAAATGACAAACTACCAAAAGAGAAACACATTGTGGGGCCCTTGAAGGAGCAGAAAAAGTAGAAGACAAAATAAGGAATGTCTTCAGCCTTTGGATTACTTGAAGGAATAAAGTAATGCCTTTTGAAACAAACAACAGCATTTGACTGGGTGTCTAAAACAAATGGGAATTGAAACAAAATCATCCAGATACTGGAATGCAGGGAATTAAAGACTAGAGTTCAGCGTGGACAAAAAGGGTGATGCCTGCAGAAAAGGCAATTCCATCATCTGTTATTAACAGAGGAACTTAGTCTTTTTTTATGTAAAAGAGAAAAGTAAAATCAGTACAGTGTAAGAAAATACACAAATTCAGCTTCCGACAAAGGACATAGTAATCTTTTCCGAATTGCATTCCAGAACCATGAATGGCATCAACTTCTAAAACTGTCAGAAAACTCAACATGGAGCACAACTTGATTTGGATAAATCCAGATGCCTTCAAGAATCAGGGTGCTGATTATATCACTTGACTAAATGCGCTGTACTACTGACGTCGAAGTTACAAGTTCAATACACTTATGGGCAAGTTAAGGAGCTGTGCACAGTAAAACAATGTTCTAATATATGTAGACAGTCACATCAAAGTAAACTATACTGGCACTTCATTGTGAGGCCAACTAGGCAAGAGGCATGAATAGACTGTACAAGGATGGTTAGGTAGTATATACAGTGGAAATAGAATTTCCTCAATTATGTCATCCATTCAATCTTGATTACTCCTTATTTATGCCTGACACTCGTTTCAGGGGAAATAAAAAATTCTATACCATAGAAGTACTTGGTATTTGTTTATTCAAGTAGCAATAAGACTATTGCCACATTTTGTAGAATAAGTTACAAAGGCAGTTTCACAGGGAAAAGTCCTATTTCCCACACAAGGCCCATGAAAGTCTGCAGGCAGTGGAATCTTTATCTAATTTTACCTGCTTCCCCTGAACTTCTCAGAAAAAACCCCAATGCCACTTTTACTCATACTAAACTAAGGTTATTTCCCAGTGATAAAAGACCCTCTGGGTGAGCAAACCAAGTTTGTTTTTGTACAGTCCTCCTAACCACAAAGTGGCCTTCATTTGACTATTTAAGTTCTAATTACAAACATAATTACACACTGACATCGACATCTACTCTCTGGGCCCCAGTGATTGAACTCTATGACTTCTAAGGTGGCTTCCAGTGCTGTGAGCAGCCACTATCACGTTATCTTATTTCACAATTCTCGTCATAAATTTCTACAAAACATCAAAACTCACAGTTGGGCTAAATCTAGACAAAAAAAGATTTCCATGCATCAAGAAGTTGTGAAATAGAAGGTAGCTATATATTTTTAAACATCACATACAGCTACTGATTTACTTGGCATAGTCAAAGGAAAGGCTGGCTGTGCCCACTATTGGTTGAAGCTGTCATGCAATAATGTCAAAGCTTTGACCCAGATAAAGAGGTGTTAATATAATTTGTTTAAAGACGAAACTTAAATAGTTTGAGGTTATTTTGCTGCATGCTATTGTGAAATAAATGATAGTCCATAGGAGTCCACTTATGTAAAGACATTAGAAAGTAGGTTGCTTCATATGAATGGCCGGTATCTCATTTACACAAGGGTACGCATTCAATTAAGTATGCATTGGGGTTATGTCTTAAGTAAATTGCTCGTGGAGCTCATCTAGTTGAAATTCTATATTTAACGAAATTATTTCATCCACATGCAGTCTGCATAATAAAGATGTTGGAAGTTTATTTAAAATGCAAATATTTTGCTAACATGTTGCAAATATTTACCTATAGCTATACATTTTCAGCTAGCCTCACTTTCCAATATTATATTTCAATTAGGTCTGTGACATATGTAGTTGATACTTTGTGGATAAATTGGAAAGATGTAGGTGAGGCTGATAAGCACAAGAAAAAAATTTTCATTAATGGCCATTAGAAATTGGATTTTGAAGGGCAACATAGTATTTTATGGATTCTGCAATAGGTAGGAATTATTTGTATTACTGTCGGTAAGTTAGTAACATATTATGAACAGGTTGGGCTAACTTGCGGGTCATGTATTAATGAATTCAATTATCATACCATGAACAAAAGAAGAGAAAACTTAAAACCAATTTGAGTGCTCTAAAGGGTAAGATAAAAGGCGATCCTTTCGGTAAAACAATAGAGTATAGAAATAATGTTAATGACCAGTTTTCTGAGTGAAAATAACATTTCAAACAAATTTATTTCCTTGGTTCATGAGAAAAAACATTCTAACAGCAGTGCAACCAGCATAAAATCACAATGCTGCAGAACATTGCATCAGAATGAGCTTAAAATAAAAATCACAGGGCAACAATGGGCTGGTAAACTACTGAACTTATGAAATAGAGTTCAACAAAATAGGAACCCAATGTGGCTCCCATGTTGAGGAAGGCCATTCATATTATTAATTACAACAAAGGAACGGAAGCATTTTAGTTAAGACCAGATATTTTCATGTACTTATTTTGGTAAATTGAAACTAACTTCACAAATTCCAGTATTCCCCTAAATCAACATTGGTGCTGCAAATTTAAATAGTTAAGGAACTTAATGAAAGTTAGTGACAGACTGAATTACTGCAAGCACATCACAATAATTTGAAGGCAATCTGTTATTTCTTTGAAAAATATGTATAAGAGTATCTTTTAGGATTTTAATTAGTCAACTTTGCTATGTCATGGATAACAATTCAAAGAAAAAAAAAAGCTATACTTAAAATTTGCAAACATTCAATAAGAGCAAAATGGAAATGGAAGAATGGATTGCTGGGTGGATAGATGAAAAGGTCTTGAAACTTTATCCATTAAAACTGGTGAAGAAATAATTTCTAATGGGACCTAAGGTCTAAAATCTAAAACCAAATATCACAATGGTGTATTCCTGATAGTCTAATACTAGTAATGTTGAAGCAGCTGAAACAATAATCACTTATTTATATACTTATATGTATAAGAAACCTTAGGCTCACAAAAATATACATGTTTTAAAACGGAAATCTAAGGCACACAAAATTACTAAAACAATGAGTTAAACTATTTTACATATTCAAGAAACGGAAATATACTTGTGTAAGGTGAAGGTTTATCAATGGACATTTTGTTATTTACAATCCCTTCATATTCCTTTACTTGCATTTGTCAAAAGCTTGAAACTGATACTTTGCACCATATATTATTTTAATATAAATTGTGAGTTTTTTTTAGAGAGCTTACTGGAACTGTTTGCTTTTGCACCAAAATTGTGAGTGTTAGCGGTTGTGGGCTTCCGATGGCATTTCCAAGGGAGAAGCACCATTAGGTTTTCCATGCTCCCAAGGAATCTGACACTTTAAATGATATTATAGCACCTCTACATTTTTACAAAATCAAGTATTTCATTGGAAGTTTTTCTTGTTCTAAATGTTTTGTTTGGGTAATCCCTTTTGTTTTGCTGCAAAGTGAGCCAATAAAGTAATAGGGAAAAAAAATGGGAGGGTGAAAATTAATAGAATGCTTACTTTCCTGTTACCTAGAGTATAGATAGTTAAACTGCTTCAGATTAGTTCTCAATAGATGAACCATACTTAGAATAATATCATTCCTACTATTTCTTTGGGGTGTAGGGGTATGTGATAATAAGGAAGTTATTTTCAAAAAGTTGACAGGAATTACATATTCTTATTTTGTATCAGAATGACTTTCAGAACAAATAAGGCAATTAGGGATGAGTTGGTTTCTTGCTGCTTAATTTTTGTAATTTACCACCTTGAAACATTAGAAGCATTTGACTCTTCTGAATCCTATTATGTCCATCTCCTTTTGGAAACGCCTTTCATGGATTATACTGAGAAAGCTAGGATGAAAGTAAACTGGGGCCAATGTTGCTCAATAAATCAGAAGAGACTATGCTCACTCAAGTCCAAAGAGAATGTTAATCAATACTGGTGACAAGCTTCCTAATTTGAATTTTAGAGATAATTAATAATTTTTGCATGATGTATTTTATATAAGTAGCTAATATTTGAATGTAAAAGGACACATTAAAAAAAAAAACCAAACCATATACATGATTAGAATACATACTGCAGATAAGATGGAACTCTACACAGCAAGAATAAATGATTTCTCTTGATGCAAATATGCACAAACAATAGACAATAGGATTCATATACTATACTATTTCAAGTTATTTTTAAAAATAGAAAGTGCTTTTAAAATATATATTTACAAGTTATGAACAGCCTCCAACCATTACTAACAATAATGAATTATTTTATGTAGGAGTGATATTTTCAGAGAAAACATTTCATTGGTTTATTTCAAAGGAATATGTTGATTTTCTAGCAATGATTGGAAGATGTTGGAACAATGGCACCATGAAATAATAATAATTCAGCTTATTTTTAACTGTGTTGATGTGGTTAAGCACCAGGAGCTGTGTAGAGTTAACACTGTGTATCTTGATTTTACATCATAGAACATGAACCTGTTAAAATCCTCTAAAAATGACTCTTGTTTCATAGTAAACAGACTTAATTTAAAGCACCAAACTGAGTGATTCTATCAAGGTTAACACCTAACCAAAACATTTCTTTAGGTATTTAAAACTAGAAAAGCTTTATTTTTGCTTAAAATGTGCACCTTCTACCAATTGTCAAAATATAGTCACAGTTAAGAAATACCCACCCCATTTTTGTGTTTTACCTCAGCCTTCAAATGGGTGAGATGAAGATAAGAGTAAACGACAACATGACTTTCTTTTAACAGCACCTTGAAAAAATACACTGCACTAGCAAAGGCATTAAGAAGGGGAGAAAAGCCTTTAGACCCAGTGGTTGTAGGGCCCTGCAACATGTGTGAGAGCATAAGGGGACACGGTGACAACATTGTCGTGGGTTAATGTTAATGCTTTATGAGAAGGAATTTGGTTCAATTCATTAATTTCAGGGGGTAGCTCAGGACCCTCGCTAGCTGCCTGGTCTTTCTGCTCTGAGGCCTTAGTTTTCCTATTCTTAGCTTCTTTAGCCTCGAACTTAATCTTGTTTAGTTCAAAACCATGTTGGGGCTTGTTCAGGTTTTTGTGCTGGTAGAAGACAAGGGAGAGGCGTGTGGGATGATTCCGATTTGGGTGCTCGACAGGGGTTGTAGCGTGAAGCTCTCGCCGGGCACACTCTATCAAAATGGAGCCATGGGCAGGTGCTATTGCCACCCCGCCAATATTGGCATCTAAGAAGATGTGCTCACTGTCTGACCAATACTCATCGATGTGGGGCAATTTGTCCTCAGCAGGTGAGAGGGGGTCGTCTGATAGGGGGTCATCTGATAGAGGATCCTCTGCTTCAGAATGCTGCTCATCTTCTTCCACCAGCGAGGAGGCGACTTCATGAGGAGAGCTGACGAATGGGGACGGCTGAAGAGGCTGATTAGAAGTTAGCTGCTCAGATGGACCTGTGAGAGGCTCAGAATAAACCATAGAATCTGTTATGGGAGTAGACAAGGTGGAGAGAGGAGCCACTTCACCAGTCTGTGCGATTCTAGTGTACTCCCCAGCAGCTGCATTAGCACCACTGTGTCTTGCAGAAGGCATTGTGCAGTGGGGATTGCTACTTCTTTCTGAAAACCCATGGGAAACTGTTGCATCGTTCTTAAAAGGAATTGTTGAGGCTGAAGTATTCTTAGGGGACCAGGAGAAGACTGGCGATAAGTTTGTCTCTTTCACGGGGTGAGGAATGGATGGGGCCAGTGGGCAGGTTTTATTGATGTCCGAGCCTTTGAAGATAAAATGGGGTTCAATTTCACTTTTTATTTCAGGTTGCAAGGTCTCAGTTTTATTCCCTAAACAGAGAAAAGGACACCGCATGTGAAGGTAAGTTGAAAATAATTTTGACTTAAAAATTTTTAAAGCAACACAGAGAAAAATAAAGCATTGGTGGTGGCAATGTTGGTCAATTCTGTCTTATTGAAGTCAAACACACAAACATGCTTTAAAAATTAGTAGTTTGGTATGCTTTTTCCTTAAAATTTTCCTTATTAAAAATTTTACTTAAAAGTAAATATCAAAACTGTGCTGGAATACAATGCAGATGATAATACAATGACAGAGAGCAATATTTAACTATCCAAAGAGAGATTTAAATACACTTTAGGCATTGCATACTCTCATTTTTTAAAGAAGTAAATATAAGTAATAGTTTATATCATAACTGGTAAAGTTACTAAAAAGTTATCACATTGGCCAGTGTGAGTTATCTGCGCTCATATACGCACACAAACTTCATATCAAAGGGAAAGAAACATTTTTATTGGAGACATTTTTCTTGTTCTGAGATTATTTGGAACAGCAAATCCAGCAAATTGAAGTACCAGAAAGAGAAAAGGTAAAAAGACCATGCTTTAAGATAGTCAAAGATAGAATAGTAACCATTGATCGAATTCATAATATCTGCAATTTTCCCCTCAGACAATACAACCTGGAGGACATGATAGTTTTCACTGTTTTTATTTTTTTTAATTAATTAATTTATTTTATTTATTTTTAAGAGGCATGTTTTTATTTACTTATTTACTTATTTGTTTGTTTGTTTGTTTGTTTTGTTTATACATGCAGGGGGTACAGTCAGAAGCGCGGGAGGGTGAGAGAATTCACCAGAGCCAGAGCGGGGAGCAGAGCAGGCAGAAGGACCGAAGTACACTGCTGAGGGGAGCAGCGGGCGGCAGGAGAGGTCTGCGCGCCATGTGGGACCCTCCTCTGGTGGCCGGGGAGCAGCCGGGGATCGAACCGGCGCTGCAGAGGCCCTGGGCAGCTTCGCAACCCAGCGCTCAACCGCTGCGCCACGAGGGAGGCCCAGTTTTCACTGTTTTTAAAGATTTATTTATTTATGCATACAAGAGCCGGGGTGCAGACCGGAGATGAAGGGGTAAGAGGATTCACCAGAGACAGAGTGAGGAGCAGAACAGGTGGATCTGGTTGGGATGAAACTTGGGATGGAACTCAGGCTGTAGAGGTGATAGCGCTGAGACCTAACTCCTAAGCCACCAGGGAGGCCAATAGTTTTCATTTTTCAAGAGAACTTAGAGGAGAAAACAAGGGGCACATCAAGAAAGCTGTCAACAGAATATTGGGAAGAGACTATTAAAAGAGCCATGAGTCTTATTGAGTTGAATGAGCCCATACAAGTTTTTCAGGAGTCAGATTATAAAAGGAGGTTATGGGCTATACACTGATTTATAAAAAGCACGCATGGGCCTCCCTGGTGGCGCAAAGGGGTAAGCACTGCACTGTGAAATAATCCGCAGCCTCTGCATCATGAGTTCGATCTCTGGCCGGTCAGGGAGCTACCCACATGGTGCAGCAGACCTCTCCTGTCTTGCCCGCTGTTCCCCTCAGCAGTGTATTTCAGTCAGTCTGCCTGTTCTGTTCCCCACTGTGTCTCTGGTGAATCCTCTCACCCCCACCTCTGGCCTGTATCCCAGATCTTGTATGCCTAAATAAAATCTTTTAAAAAATAAAATAAAAAGCATGCAAAGATGATTGGGAAATGACATAAAGATGCAAATTACATGATTGCTGTTTACAAATAGCATGAAATTAGAGAAGTGAACCTAAATATAGACCTTAAAACACCTGTAAAATGGAGCTACAGTCAGAAAAAAGATATTCTCCCCACCTAGCTTATTCATTATCCTTTACTGTATCTTTAAAAAAAAAAAAAAAACCTATCTTGTCTGTACTGTCATTTCTCTCACCTGACAAAAACAATCTCATTAACAAATACAAGAATAGAAGATACAGGAATAACCTGCAATTTGAATCATAGTATAAATTCATGGTGGATTTTTTTCTTTAGACTCCTTAGAGAAATGTCTGATTTTAGATACAGAACAGGATTATGTAATATGAACCTGGAATGTCTTGCAAAAACCCAGAGAAGAAGCTATCAATGACAGTGGGGTCATGATAAAAGAATTCAGAGAGGGGCCTCCCTGGTGGCGCAAGGTGTCGCGCATAGCACTCTGAAGCTATCCATAGACTCTGTAGCATGTGTTCGATCCCCGGCCAGGGAGCTACCCACATGGCACAGCAGACCTCTCTTGACTTGCCCGCTACTCCCCTCAGCAGTGTTATTTCTGTCAGTCTGCCTGTTCTGCTCCCCACTCTGTCTCTGGTGAATCCTCTCACCCCCTGCAACTCTGGCCTGTACCCCAGTTCTTGTATGCATAAATGAATAAATCTTAAAAAAAATGAATTCAGAGAAAGCTTGAGGGGTATAACTTCACTTGTATTCTGAAAACTGGTGAATAAAGGTAAATCGTTAAGCATTTATTCTAATTTCCCTGAGTGAACCATATCTGAGAACTAGCAAGCTATTGCTAAGGACAAGATTTTTTTTTTCCTGGTAGAAGAACTGGGATGCAGGTCAGAGGTAGGGGGCCAGGGTGAGAGGATTTACCAGAGACAGACTGGGGAGCAGAACAGGCAGGTGTCCTGAAATACACTACACTGCTACAGGGAGCAGCGGATGAAACAGGAGGGGCCGGCTGAGTCTTATGTGGGTTAGCTCCCTGGCTGGGATTGAACCCAGGCTGAAGTTGTGATAGCATGGAAAGTTAACCCCTAGACTACCAGGGAGGCCCAGGACAAGATTTCTTTTTAAAAGAACTAACAGGGCCTCCCCGGTGGCGCTGCGGTTGAGCGCTGGGTTGCGAAGCTGCCCGTAGCCTCCGCGGCGCCGGTTCGATCCCCGGCTGCTCCCCCGTCACCGAAGGAGGGACCTGCATGGTGCGCAGACCTCTCCTGCCGCCCGCTGCTCCCCTCAGCAGTGTACTTCGGTCCTTCTGCCTGCTCTGCTCCCGGCTCTGGCTCTGGTGAATTCTCTCACCCTTCCGTGCTTCTGACTGTACCCAGTGCTTGTATAAATAAATAAATAAATAAATCTAAAAAAAAAAAAAGATGTTTAAAAAAAAAAATAAAAGTACTAACAAATGGAAGAATGATAGACTGTTATTCCTAATGAAATAAATGTAGAGGATGATCATAAGTAAAAAATTGATAGGAAAGGTTATCAGTTTAACAAATTGACAACACCTGCAAGAGGCAGGATCATACACTATTTATTTCCTGAAAAAATAGGATTGTAAGAATTAGACAGTGCTCTTGTCATGGAAATTAAAAAAGAAATTGATACTGAATGTATCAATAAGACAGTATATAGGACAGCAGTTTTTGCTATAATGAGACAAAAAGGGAGGAAGAAAATAACAGGCTTGAAATTAAGAAAAGATATAGGAGACATATCAAGTCAATACAGTGCATGTAAATACAGTCCTTGTTTGGAAACTGATTTAAACAAACCAAACGTTAGAAACTGAGAAATCTGGGCCTCCCTGGTGGCGCAAGGGGTTAAGCACCGCACTATGAAGCAATCCACAGCCTCTGCAGTACAGGTTCGATTCCCAGCCGGCCAGGGAGCAACCCCCATGGTGCAGCAGACCTCTCCTGACTCGCCCGCTGCTCCCCTCAGCAGTGCACTATGGTCAATCTGCCTGTTCTGTTCCCCACTGTCTCTAGTGAATCCTCTCACCACCCCCCTCCCCGCATCTCTGGCTTGAACCCCAGTTCTTATATGCATAAATAAATAAATCTTTTTTTTTTTTAAAAAGGATTTATAAAAAAAGAAATTGAGAAATCTGAACACTTATTGGCATTAAGGCATTCTTTGATTTTTGGTTTTTTGCATTGTGGTTATAAAGAGTCTTGGTGACACATGGATGAATCAACAGACGATATAACTTGTTTCAAAATCATTGAAGGGGCAGGTCTGCGGAAGATTATAGATGAAGTAAGAATAGCTACGTATTGCAATTTTTTAACAGTGAGAACATACAAGGAAAATTTGGGTCCATTATATAAATCACTGTACATTTTAAAAAATTTCCTTAAAACAAAAAACCCAACAATCTCTCAACTTTCACTGCAATCTGTTCATCTCCTTTATAGCCAAACACAGGAATTTCTCTCATCTCTCTATAAAACAATCACATTCATTCTCAGCACCACTCTACGGAATGTGCTCTAACAGAACGTCCAATTGCCTTCACATCTAGTGGTGAAATCTCAGTTTTCATCTCACTCAAAGGAGCAGCATTTGACAAGGTTGATCACCCCCCCTCCTTCAAATACTATACTCTGTGGTTTCACTCCCTCCTCACCAGACCTTTAAGTCTCTCTTGCATGTTTTTCCTCATCTCTGAAGCCTCTACAAATTGCGAATTCCAGGATTTATCCTTGTTAAAATTTCTTTTCTTATCCCCATCAAATGTTTCTTTGTGATCTAATTCACTCTCACTGCTTTAACTACTGTTTTTTTCTTCAGACCAGTATCAGGGTAAACCTTGACACTTCTTGTTATCTTACATTTCAGATTTGATTTATTAGAGATCTTGTTGATCTTCAAAACAAAACCAGAATCAGACATTTCTCATGTCCTTATTAGCCAATCTGGTCTAAGCTCCGCCACCTCTCTTCTGAATTGTTAGGGTAGCCTCTTTCTGATCATTCTACTTTTCTATTCTCTGCCCCATTTTAGTTTTTAACCTAGTAACGAGAACAATAGCTTTGAGTCAGGACATTATCCTCTGGTCTGAAATCTGCAATATCCTTCTCACAATAGAGGCCAAAATCTTTTTTTTTTTTTTTTTAAAGATTTTTTTTTTTTAATAGAGGCATGTTTTTATTTATTTATTTGTTTGTTTGTTTGTTTTGTTTATACATGCACTGGGTACAGTCAGAAGCGTGGGAGGGTGAGAGAATTCACCAGAGCCAGAGCGGGGAGCAGAGCAGGCAGAAGGACCGAAGTACACTGCTGAGGGGAGCAGCGGGCGGCAGGAGAGGTCTGCGTGCCATGTGGGACCCTCCTCCGGTGGCCGGGGAGCAGCCGGGGATTGAACCGGTGCCGCAGAGGCCGCAGGCAGCTTCGCAACCCAGCGCTCTACCGCTGTGCCAACGGGGAGGCCCGAGGCCAAAATCTTTATAGCAATTTACAATGCCAGAGATGAATCACTCACACACGCCTCCTACCTCTCTGGTTTTATCTCTTACAGTTCTCATTTCACACTTTGCTGAGCCACACTGCCATCACTGCTCCTATCAAGTATTCGAGGTAAATTCCTGCCTGTTGACCTCTGCACTTATCATTTCCTCTGCCTGGCACACTATTTCTCCAAACAAAAATCGTTGTTGACTCTCATTTCTCTTAGGACTTTACACAAATGCATATTATTCTTCTTTCATGGTAGTATTGCCCCTCTTTTTCACTCCATTTCCAATACCTAGAACAGTTCTAAGTGGTGTCCTGTATTATTTGTTGATGGGATTACTTAAATTGATGCTAAAATGAATAAAGACTTCAAGGAACTGATATTTCATCCCTGCCAGGAAGAAAGAGTGACTTCAAAAAAGATGGGGAATAACTAATAAGAACATGGTTTTAAAAAAATATAAATTGAGGGCCTCCCTGTTGGCGCAGGGGGTTGAGCACCGCACTGTGAAGTGGTCCACAGCCTCTGCAGCATGAGTTCAATCCCCGGCCAGTCAGAGAGAAACCCACATGGTGAAGCAGACCTCTCCTGGCTCGCCCACTGCTCCCCTCAGCAGTGTATTTCAGTCAGTCTGCCTGTTCTGTTCCCCACTCTGTTTCTCGTGAATCCTCTCACCGCCCGCCCCTGCATTCTGGCCTGTACCCCAGCTCTTGTGTATGCTGTACCCCAGCATAAATGAATAAATCTTAAAAAAAAAAAGGGTGGCATTCAAAAAAAAATCTTTAAAAAAAATTGAAAAAAATATACCAAAAAATACTTACGAGTCACTTTTTTGTTGACAATTTGTTTGGGCAAATATGTAGAAATATATTCAGTGTCTTTATTTTAACTCTAAACAAACTATATTAAAAACAACAATAGTTTAAGAACATTAGCTAACTGATATCTCAACTGAAGTTTTCCTTTTCAAATGGCTCATCTTGTCAGTGTTGGTGCCATGTTCTCCACCCTACTGAAAGCAGTCACCTTGGGCTACAGGTATCCGTGTCCTGTAGGAAATGAGGGACAGAGCTAAGTGGCCAGGTGAAGCTGTATAACACTGAAGGCAGGTATGCTCTAAAAAATGGTGGTAGGGCAGGCATTTGCTTTACTGGCTTTGACTTGTTGCAGGGTCTTGGGGAGACATGGAAGGAGACACATGGAATAGAGACGTGGAGAAGGAGTTGAAACAGACATATGGATAAGACACACCTGGGGAAGAGGACAGTGGCAGCCACTATCTTAATTTGTATTTGATTTTGCTCCTTTTGGTCCAGACTTGCCTGGTCCCTTTCGTCTCTATCTTGGGTTTCTCCTACCAGAAGCTGCCTTAGACTTGTGGCAAGTTTTGGGTCTCAGTGGTCCCACTTCAGGCCAATACTGTTTGCCCACAGGGTAGATGGATAATTTTGGATGATTTATTGGGGAAATTATTCCCTCTTCTCTTTCCTTTCTATGCACACTAATTCTATCTAAGATCTATCACACTAAGGGTAATCTTTCTTTGTCTTTGTGCAGTGGATGGCAGGATCCTATTTTAGAGTTAGCAACACCCACTTATTTGGTGTCCCTGGATATCCCTTGGTTACTTAGAAAGAATCTCAAAGTGTGTAAATCAATAGCAAAGATAAAGAAGAGGAAAAATAAGGTACAAAAGTCCAATTCCTTCTGCCAATGTAAGTTGTGCATATAAAACTAGTAGGATTCAAAGGACTCACCTAAAAGTGGTAGCAAAGAAGTCTTACTGTTGTTTGTGGTGGAGTTATTCTTCCGCTTGATTCGAGGAATGAATTTCTTTTCCACAGCCCTTATCTTGTGCGCAAGAACCTCTGTCATCATTGCTGCTCGCTTCTTCCCAGAACGAGGAACTGGCTGAGTAAAGCGTTTTCTTCTTTTGCGGCGGGGTGCAAGGACTTCAATGGCCCCAGATTTTATCTTGGCTTCCATTCCTTCCCTTGAACCAAACTCATCTGTTTCTGAAAGTTTGTAAAGGGGTAGCACATGCAGCTGCTCATCTTGAGGAATAACACCCAGTGCACGGTTATCTTCTCGTGTTAAAGTACAAACCTGATAGGAACAAGACAAGAAATGCAAAATATAGGTCCTGCATACCATACCCTCTATAGTTATTCCTGTCTTCTTGTTGCCATTGTGAAAATGCACTGTATTTGTTATTTTATTTTCAATTGATTACTATGGTATTGTTAAATTTGGATAAATACCATATATTGTATAATATTTCTTAGGAACAGGGGAAATTAGTTATGCGTTTTCTTAATTTGCTGTGCTTGCATCTAAGGCACATTCAGATCTGCCTGCAAGGGGATTTATCTATAGCTGTTTTCCTGCCCTCCTTATCAGGGTGATTATTTTCTTCTCCAAATAATTTGACAAATATAAACAAAGCAAAAGAACAAAGATAAGAATGAAGCACACAAAATTTCTCCTTCTAACAGTGCTATCATTCTAATCATTAAAAAACCTAAAATATTTTATTCCAATAAATATTCTTTTTCTGCTCTGTTTTGCTTCTATTCTAGTTAGGTGCCTTATCAATAAGTTTGTCTGTCTTTGTTTTGAATTTGAAGTAAGACATCTTAAGAAAATTCTGTCTTACAAGAGACAACAACCAAAACAAAGAGACACCCTAATGAGTGGGAGAAAATATTTGCACTCCATACAGCTGCTAAGAGATTGATTACAAAGACTTACAAAGAGCTCAGACAATTCAACAAAAACAAAACAAACAATTCGGTCAAAAAATGGGCAGAGAAGCTAATAAGACACTTTTTCAAGGAGGAAATACAAATGGCCAACAAGTATATGAAAAAATGTTCAACATCACCTCTAATCAGGAAAACCCAAGTCAAAACCACAATGAGATCCTCCTAACACCAGTGAGAATGACCCATATTAAAAAAATCTGGCAACAACAAATGTTGGTAAGGATGTGGAGAAAAAGGAACTCTCCTGCACTGTTGGTGAGAATGCAAAATGGCCCAACCACTGTGGAAAGCTGTGTAGGGGTTCCTCAACCTACTGAAAATGGAGCTTCCATATGACCCAGCAATTGCACTAATGGGAGTCTACCCAAAGGACACAAAAACATTGATTTGAAAGGAAACCTGCACTCCTGTATTTACTGCAGCATTATTTCTAATATCTAAGGTGTGGAGGCAACCTAAATGCCCCAAAACAGAGGACTGGGTAAAAAAGATGTGGTATATACACAATAGAATGCTATTCAGCAATCAAAAAAGATTAAACTCATGCCATTCTTTTTTTTTTTTTTTTAAGATTTATTTATTTATTTATACAAGCACTGGATACAGTCAGAAGTGTGGGAGGGTGAGAGAATTCACCAGAACCAGAGTGGGGAGCAGAACAGGCAGAAGGACCAAAACACACTGATGAGGGGAGCAGTGGGCACGGCAGGAGAACTCATGCCATTCTAAGCAACATGGATGGAGGTAGAAGGATTATGGTCAGTAAAATAAGTCAGAAGGAAAAAGAAAAGCATCCCTGGTTTCACTTACAGGAAGAATATAGGGGAACCAAACAAGGGATCAGGAAAAAACAAAACAAAAACAAAACAAAAACAAAACTAGCAGCCAAAAGATTAATCGGAGACATTCAGCGGGGAAGGGGGAGGGATGGGGGAAGGATAGGGATTAAACAGGGGAGAGAAGAGCACAAGGGTCTATGGTGACTGTTCACAGGTGACTTGGTGGGAAGGAACCTGAGAGGAACAAGATGTAAAAAATAAATACAAATACAAATAAAAAAGAAAAAGAAAATTCTTTCTCTACTCAGCTACAATGTACGATGAAACGTTGCTATTTATGGAAAGATGAATGGTACTTGAGATGTTTATTTTAAGCAAAATTAAGTCAGAATAAGGAAAACACTACATGATTTCACTCATAAGTGGAATATAAAACAAAACAATAGCAAATTCTGAGTCTCTGACAACAAAATGATGGTTACTGGAGGGGAAGTTGCTGGGGAGTGAAGGAATGGTTGGAGGGGATCAGCTGGAACTTTGTGGTGGATGTGGTGTGATAGATTCATTTATAGAGGTGTGAAGATACACTCCTGAAACTTTTGTAGTTTCGTAAAGCAATGATACATTGAGAAAAAAATCAAAAAGAAAGTAATGTCTTAAAAATATAACCTATCTGAGTTCTCCTCCCTAATTTAAATGTTATTCATATTCATTGTGGTGAAATGAAGACACAGGATATCTCTGACCTTTGATATCTAGTATGAATATATGTCTTTCTAAATGAATATATTTTCCTTCATAAAATTTCAAATGTCATTAAAAGTCCATCAAAAATATGTATATTAGGGCCTCCCCGGTGGCACAGCGGTTGAGCGCTGGGTTGCGAAGCTGCCCACAGCCTCTGCAGTGCCGGTTCGATCCCCGGCTGCTCCCCGGCCACCGGAGGAGGGTCCCACATGGCGCGCAGACCTCTCCTGCCGCCCGCTGCTCCCCTCAGCAGTGTACTTCGGTCCTTCTGCCTGCTCTGCTCCCCGCTCTGGCTCTGGTGAATTCTCTCACCCTCCCGCGCTTCTGACTGTACCCAGTGCTTGTATGTATGTATGCATAAATCAATCAATCAATCAATAAATAAATCTTTAAAAAAAAAAAAATATGTATATTAGCTTTATTTGTATTTCACTAAAAACATTTCTTCCAAAGTGAAGAGCTCATTCTAAGATAGCAGAGACATTATTAGACTGGAAATTCATGAAATTTTTGAACTTAATATTCAAGATATAATATAACTTGATGGATAGAGATGCTAAAGTAAAACCACACAATTTTCTCAATATCTGTAGCCATTTACCAGCAAGGTTTGAAATACTGACTGAAGTCTTTTAGGTGCAATCTATTAATAATTTTAAAATAGTCATGTTAAAAATTAGGATCTGGGGGCCTCCTGGTGGCACAAGGGGTAAGATGCAACCTATGAAGCTATCCGTAGCCTCTGCATCATGAGTTCGATCCCCAACCAGGAAGCTACCCACATGGTGCAGCAGACCTCTCCTGACTTGCCAGCTGCTCCCCTCAGAAGTGTTTTCAGTGAATCTGCCTGTTCTGCTCCCCACTCTGTCTCTGGTGAATCCTCTTACCTCCCATACCGTTGGCCTGTATCCCAGTTCTTGCATGCATAAAAAAATAAATCTTTAAAAAAAAATTAGGATCTGGGCCTCCCTGGTGGTGCAAGGGGTTAGGACGCAGCCTATGAAGCTGTCCACAGCCACTGTGGCGCGGGTTTGAGCCCCAGCTAGGGAGATGTCAACATGGCACAGCAGACCTCTCCTGACTTACCCGCTGCTGCTCAGCAGTGTGATTCAGTCAATCTTCCCGTTCTGTTCCCCACTCTGTCTCTGGTGGACCCTCTCGATGCCCCCCCCCTCTCGAATGCCCCAGTTCTTGTATGCATAAATAAATAAATCTTAAAAAAAAAAATTAGGATCTTCACCAATAACTCTCTATTTAAATTATTTTCCACAAGCACATTAAGAAGAGTACAAATAAGGGCCTCCCTGGTGGCGCAGTGGTTGAGCGCTGGGTTGCGAAGCTGCCCGCGGCCTCTGCGGCGCCGGTTCGATCCCCGGCTGCTCCCCGGCCACTGGAGGAGGGTCCCGCATGGCGCGCAGACCTCTCCTGTCACCCACTGCTCCCCTCAGCAGTGTATTTCGGTCCTTCTGCCTGCTCTGCTCCCCACTCTGGCTCTGGTGAATTCTCTCACCCTCCCGCGCTTCTGACTGTACCCAGTGCATGTATAAACAAAATGAACAAACAAATAAATAAAAAAAAAAAAAAAGAAGAGTACAAATAATAGATATGAGGAGCATAATTTGAAAGACTAGGGTAACAGGGGGAAAGAAGAGTTGGCAGCAGAATTTCAAGAGTTCAACTTTTCAGAGATGGGGACATTTGGCATTATGACAAATACAAGGAATTGCCTCATTGAATGAATAATTAGAGTAGTGGAAGAAGAACCAGGAATGAATAATATATGAGAGGAGTCAAAACTTAGATTAACTCTGAACTTAATCCAGCCTGATCACAGATACATTGTGAGGCAATTCAGGGAAAATGTATCAGCCAAGTATTGATAAACTGTTCTTTGGCTAAGATTTGTCAGGATGGATTTATAAAATTTCAACATTGGTCTCAAAGACTACACTTAACATCAGTGGAGAGGAGTGCTATGCTACAAAGTTATTTTGGTTCCTTAATCTATCACAGAGAGACTTCATTGAGCAAATGGAAAGGAAGGTCGCCTTTTGACGGATCAGATTATGAATTTCCAATCACACTGTAAGAGGATGTAGCTTTGTCTTAATGAAGATCTCAAAATTATGTGGCAAACCAAACAAACTGGTGCAGTGTAGAAAGAAATTACTTCTATTAATCTGTTTTCCTAGGTAAGAAGAATACAATTATTTGAAGCAAACTCATATCCCTTACAAAAGGACTGTTGCATGAGTTCCCCCAGGGTCTTTCATGTAATTTAAGTATTTTTTATATGAATATACTACTTATTTCATTTTGTTTTATTTATTTTTTGCATAGAAGAACTGGGGTGTAAGCCAGAGATGTGGGGGGTGAGAGGATTCACTAGTGACAAAGTGGGGAGTAGAACAGGTGGATTTACTGAAATACACTTGTAAGGGAAGCAGTGGGCAAGCCAGGAGAGGACTGCTGTGCTATATTTGGGTTAGCTACCTGGCCCAGTATGGAACTCAGGCCATAGTGGTGATAGTGTGAGACTTAACCCCTAGGCCACCAGGGAGGCTCCTACTTTAAGTATTCTTGACTGATGATCTCAGGCTGAGAGATATGATTCTTTTAATGGAAGCTAGCATAATATGGCTAATGCAAATATTTCTAACACTATAACTTTACACAAACTGTCCTTAAAGCTAATACACACACACAAGATATATTTGGCACAGTTCCCTCACAAAAATCCTGAGGAAAGGATGTAAAACAGGAACATTAAGGGGGTCTCCTTTGTGGTGCAGGGGTTCAGTCTCAGCACTATCAAGCTATCACCAGCCACTGTAGCATGAGTTCAATCCCTAGCCAAGGAGCTAACCCACATGGCACAGCAGACCTCTCCTGTCTGCCTGCTGCTCCCCTCAGCAGTGTATTTCAGTAGAGCTATCTATTCTGCTCCCCACTCTATCTCTGATGAATCCTCTCACACCTTGCACCTCCGGCCTACACCCCAGTTCTTGTATGCATAAATAAATAAAATAAATTAGGGCCTCCCTGGTGGCGCAAGGGGCTAAGCACAGCACTGTAAAGCTATCCGCAGCCTCTATAGCACAAGTTTGATCTCCGAGCTGGCCAGGGAGCTATGCACATGGCAGAGCAGACCTCTCCAGTCTCGCCCGCTGCTCCCCTCAGCAGTGTATTTCAGTAGATCTGCCTGTTCTATTCCCCACTCTGTCTCTGGTGAATCCTCTCACCCCCCACAACTTTGGCCTGTACCCCAGCTCTTGCATGCATAAATAAATAAATCTTTAAAAAAATGTTAGCACCCACCCTTATATAAATAAAAATAAATAAATAAATCATTAAAAAAAAGAAACATTAAGGAATTTGCTTAACTTACCACCTACAAGTTGATAGCACAGAATTATTGCTTTCTTTTTTTTTTTTTAGTTTTTTTTTTTTTTTTTTTTATAGAGGCATGCTTTATTTATTTATTTATTTGTTTGTTTGTTTTGTTTATACATGCACTGGGTACAGTCAGAAGCGCGGGAGGGTGAGAGAATTCACCAGAGCCAGAGCGGGGAGCAGAGCAGGTAGAAGGACCGAAGTACACTGCTGAGGGGAGCAGCGGGCGGCAGGAGAGGTCTGCGCGCCATGTGGGACCCTCCTCCAGTGGCCGGGGAGCAGCCGGGGATCGAACCGGCGCCACAGAGGCTGCGGGCAGCTTCGCAACCCAGTGCTCAACCGCTGCGCCACCGGGGAGGCCCAGAATTATTGCTTTCAATAATCATATACTCTTTCTTACCCCCCAGCAAATGTAACAAAAACACAGTTAAATATGTAATTCAAGACTTTCAAAACAATATTAGTTTAAGGGTGGTTCTATAAATTTTTGCAAATACTTTGACAATAAACCTAATTAAATACCACCAATATATACATTTATGTGGAAAAAAAGATAAATTTGCTACAACAATCACAAATAAGGACCTCAGCCTATGCAACAGTGATGGAGTGTGCAGTATTGAAATTCACATAGGTACATACCACAGTGCTTCCATTATTCATGTTGTGAATGTCCCTGTGAGGATGGGCACAGAAGTCTAGACAAGCTGTTACCCCAGAGAAAGGACGACCTTCTTTGCTACCAAGCCGACATTCTCGGGCAACATGTTCATATTCCACCTAAAAAGGAAAGTAGATACACGATTTGAAGAAACAGTGAAAAATCACTTCCTAACAAAGTCCTTAAAGCAATGAGACTGTAATTTTTAGTATTTCTCAAGCTACAATGTATTAGTGTAGCCCCTGTGGAGTTTAGAAACATTGAGAATAAATAGTTGTGAATGTTGCAAATACACCGTATTTCCTACCCCGACCTACATCTAGCTGCTTGGATTATAAATCCCAATAAACCATGAACCTGACTTTTTGAGGTGGGAGGAAGCTGTTGGTAACTAATGGCAAAGCTGAGCATAATATAGTACACCACTCCTGCTGTTGCAACTCGACTTGTAACTGAATACTGCTGGGAAGGAGACCTGGAGGAGACATGTAGAGACACTTGGGAGAGATACAGGGTCACAGACACTTGGAGTCTCTGTCAATAGGGGCAGAGACAATGGCAGCTGTTATCATGACGTAGCATCCTTTTCTGCCCCAACTGCAGGATCTGCTTAACGCCTTTCTTGTGATTCCCTGCTAGAAGGTAGCTTAGACTTGTGGTAAGCTTTCAGGCTTCAGCAGCCCCTCTTCAGGCTGGGCTTGCTTGGCTGGGCATTTGCCCTTGGAGGGGATGGATAATTTGGGATTTTATTGGGAAACAATTATGAATATTCTTTATTTTCTCTCTATACAGATTAATTCTATAAAAGATCTTTCACATTAAGAGTCTGCTTCTTTTGCCTTTGCGCAGCAGAAGGTAGGCCCCCTTTAAAGCATATATCCCTTGGGCCTCCCTGGTGGCGCAAGGGGTTAAGACGCAACCTCTGAAGATATCCGTAGCCACTGCAGCGTGAGTTCGATCCTCGGCAAGGGAGCTACCCACTTGGCACAGCAAACCTCTCCTGACTCGCCTGCTGCTCCCCTCAGCAGTTTATTTCAGTCCATCTGCCTCTTCTGCTCCCCACCCTGTCTCTGGTGAATCCTTTCACCCCCCCTGCACCTCTCTGGCCTGTACCCCAGTTCTAGTATGCATAAATAAATAAATCTTGAAAAATAACCCCAAAATATATCCCTTAACAGTTTGGGGCCCCTGGGTGCCCCTTAGTCAGACACTGATAAGAATACATAGAGCAAAATGATAATCAGTGACTACAACCAAAGAGAGGATGAAAACACTAATTCATGCTGGGTGGATTAATAAGTAGGGTACCCTAAATGATTCCATCATAAGGAAAGACATAGTATATAAATGACATATGCAATTAGAATTTCTATAAAAGGTATATATCCAGGATGCAGTATACAAAATCAATTTACAACTCTTTTAAAAGGAAATTTTTGGATTTAACAGTGTGTTGTTCATAAAACAAATACTTTTTCTTTCTTTAAAAAATTCCCAGGGCCTCCCCGGTGGCGCAGCGGTTGAGCACTGGGTTGCGAAGCTGCCCGCAGCCTCTGCAGCGCTGGTTCGATCCCTGGCTGCTCCCCGGCCACCGGAGGAGGGTCCCACATGGCGCACAGACCTCTCCTGCCGCCCGCTGCTCCCCTCAGCAGTGTACTTCAGTCCTTCTGCCTGCTCTGCTCCCCGCTCTGGCTCTGGTGAATTCGCTCACCCTCCCACGCTTCTGACTGTACCCAGTGCTTATATAGATAAGCAGGCGGTTGAGTGCAGGCGGTTGAGTGCAGTGCTGTGAAGCTGTCCGCAGCCTCTGCAGCACCGGCTCAATCCCAGTCAGCCGGCAGGGGTACCACATGGCGCGCAGACCTCTCCTGCCACCCGCTGCTCCCCTCAGCAGTGTATTTCATCATTCTGCCTGTTCTGTTCCCTGCTCTGTCTCTGGTGAATCCTCTCACCTTCCTGCACTTCTGGCCTGTACCCCAGTTCTTGCATAAACAAACAAACAAACAAACAAGCCTTTAAGACCTCTCCTGTCTTGCCTGCTGCTCCCCTCAGCAGTGTATTTCAGTCAATTTACCTGTTCCCCACTCTATGTCTGGTGAATCCTCTCACCCCCCCACACCTCTGGCCTGTACCCCAGTTCTTATATGCGTAAATAAATAAATTAAAAAAAAAAACCCAGCTTCATTGAAATGTGATACATCTACGTTTAAGATATGCAAAGTGATGGCTAGATAGATGTACATATTGCAAAATGATTACCATAATGTTAATTATGTTACCACACTGTTTATTACACCCTCAGAACTTATTTATCTTATAGCTGGGAATTTGTCCAACACCTCTCCATTTACTATATCCATATTTATTTTCTTGATGATGTTTTTGAAGCACAAATTAAAAATTTTCAATGATGTATTTTTTCTTAATTTTATTTTTGGATGGTCTATTGCTAGTGTTTGAAAGTCAATGATTTTTGCATATTCATCTCATATCCTGAACTTACTTTTTCGCTCTAAACAGTGTTTTTCTTGGTATTTTCTAACATGGGATTATATGATTGACTAGCAGAGATAAGTTTTATCTCTTTTTTTTTTCCTTGCAGATTTCCTTGACTCACCATCGTTGTTCTGACTAACAGCTCCAGCAAAATATTTAATAGAGGGCTTCCCCTGGTGGCGCAGGCGGTTGAGCACTGCGCTGGGAAGCTGTCCGCAGCCTCCATAGCACCAATTTGATTCCCATTGGCCTTGGAGCAACCCACATGGTGAGCAGACCTCTCCTGTCACGCCCACTGCTCCCCTCAGCAGTGTATTTCGTCAGTCTGCCTGTTCTGTTCCCCACTCTGTCTCTGGTGAATCCTCTCACCTTCCCTCGCATCTGGCCTGTACCCCGGTTCTTGTATAAATAAACAAACAAACAAACAAATAAATAAATATTTAAATAAAAAATATTTAATAGAAATTGCAAGAGTAGACTTTCTCATCTGGTTCCAGGTATTAGGCAAAAAAGCTTCCAGTCTTTATCATTATTTATGTTAACTATGGGTTTCTCATAGAAATCCTTTATCAGGATGAGGTAGCTCCCTTATATGGGTAGTTTGTTGAGTGATGTTAAGATGAAATAAAGTGTTGGATTTTGTTAATGCCTATTTGGCATCTATAGAGCTATTATGTGATTTTGCCCCTTTGTTCTATTAACATAGTGCATTATGTTAATATTCATATGTTCAACCAGTCATACGTTCCTGCTTTTATAAATTTTCATTCTAGAAACAACCATAATTCTGTCACTCTGGAGTTTCAATTGCTATAATGGGAAGCCCTTTTTAAAAAAGGTTATCTTTGGGCCTCCCTGGTGGTGCAGGTGGTTGAGTGCCGCACTGTGAAGCTGTCCGCAGCCTCTGCAGTGTTGGTTCGATCCCAGCCGGCCGGCAAGAATCCCACATGGAGCGGCAGACCTCTCCTGTCATGCCCGCTGCTCCCCTCAGCAGTGTATTTCGTCAGTCTGCCTGTTCTGTTCCTCACTCTGTCTCGGGTGAATCTTCTCACCCTCCTGGCACATCTGGCCTGTACCCTGGTTCTTATATAAAAATAAATAAATTTTTTTTCCCAAAAAAAAAGATATTTTAAAAAAAGATTATCTTTAAAATTTTCTGGACAGGGGCCTCCCTGGTGGCACAAGGGATTAAGTCTTAGCACTATGAACTATTGGCAGCCACTGCAGCACATGTTTGGTCCGTGGCCACATAACTAACTCACATGGTGCAGCAGACTTCTCCAAGTTACTTCTCCAAGTAACTTCTACAAGTTACTCCCCTCAGCCATGTATTTTAGTCAGTCTGCCTGTTCTGCTCCCCACTCTGTCTCTGGTGAATCCTTTCAACCCCTACCCCCAACCCCTACACCTCTGGCTGACATCCCAGCTCTTGTATGCATAAATAAGTAAAATAAATCTTAAAAAAAAAAAAATAAAGGGCCTCCCTGGTGGCGCAAGGGGTTAAGCACCACACTATGAATCTTCATAATAGCAGAGGCTTTGGATTCAATCCCCAGCAAGCCAGGGAGCATCCCACATGGTGCAGCAGATCTCTCCTGTCTCCCCCTCTGCTCCTCTCAGCGGTATATTTCACTCAGTCTGCCTGTTCTGCTCCCCACTCTGTCTCTGGTGAATCTTCTCACCCCCTGCATCTCTGGCCTGTACCCCAGCTCTTGTATGCATAAATAAATAAATCTTTTAAAAAAATAAAACAAAACTATCTGGATATTTTTAAACATACCTGGTTTTGGTAAGCAACTGGGGCATACTGCTTATAAATTGGAGCCAATTGTGTAGCCAAACTCTGTAAATTATCTTCAAGGTTTTTTTCCTAAGGAAAAGACAGTCCATAAAAGTTGTCTCATAATGACATGCAGGATGAGTTTAAGGTATGATATTGAATTAAATCACTGCTGACATGTGGTTAATACACAAGTTATACTTACTGTGATAAAAAGAACTTCCATTGAAAACAACATGGATTGTTATTTTAAAAATCTAAACTATTTGTCTTTGTCATGCTTTAATTCAGTCTTTTGAAATGAAAATTTTGCTGTATTCTAACTATAAGTGGTATTAGAGGTAACTTGCAAAACTGCTCTTGTTGCTAAAAGTGAGAACCTTGTTTTACATTTATTCAATAGCATAGACACATACATCAAAATAAACAATTCTGACATAGAATGAAAAGTTTCTATAACAGAGATATATGTATCAGACAACAGACAACAGTTATGTATCAGATCCTATGCTAACAGTTTCAAATGTATAGTGGACAAATGGTTGCCTAAAACCAGTGTTTTCTTTCCTATGCCATAGCAAATACAATTAAAGATGTGGTAGGACGGTGAGGAGCATTAACATCATATCAAGAATCAAGACTGCCATAGATAGTAGAAACACACAAGACTTTCTCAAAGAAAAATTGTCATGACAATAGTTAATAAAACACACTACAGATGACAGTATGCAGTAGGAAGCAGAGAAGGAAGACTTTGGAAATCATAGATGAAAACCACTGTGATAGTTTTTTAGAGGTGATTATATCCTAAATCAAGTTAGAGACTTGATAAATGATCAGTCACTTCAGTCACTTCCTACCTTGCTAAAGAAGACATCTGAAGGGGAATTGAGAGCAAAGTTAAAAGGAAGGATTTAAGAAGGGTTGAGACTTCTGCATCATTTGAGATGTGGTGTTTGGAGATGCTATGAACACAGAAAGAAAGTGTTCATGTGGGTCAGTTCATCTCTGTTTTGCACCAGATTATTTATTATAAAAGCTGAAACCTCACAGCAATGTAGGCACTGTAAGTTAATATTGAGTGTTTTTAACAAGTTTTAATTGTGACAACTGTAAAGCATCAAAGACGGCATTTTTTGGTTGCTTGCTGGTTTATACTGATGCTTTTATTGGGCAAGCAATTCATGTATACTGTGTACTGGGTCTATTTCCAGATTGCTGTGTTCCATTCATCTGTCCGACAACAAGTGTGACATAATGTAGCTCTGTAACTATAGCCAGGAAAGCCAGAAACCTACTTCAAAAACATTTCCCCCCCCCTTGGGCCTCCCCGGTGGCGCAGCGGTTGAGCGCTGCCCGCGGCCTCTGCGGCCCCGGTTCGATCCCCGGCTGCTCCCCGGCCACCGGAGGAGGGTCCCACATGGCGCGCAGACCTCTCCTGCCGCCCGCTGCTCCCCTCAGCAGTGTACTTCGGTCCTTCTGCCTGCTCTGCTCCCCACTCTGGCTCTGGTGAATTCTCTCGCCCTCCCGCGCTTCTGACTGTACCCAGTGCATGTATAAACAAAACGAACGAACAAACAAATAAATAAATAAATAAAACATGCCTCTATTAAAAAAAAAAAAAACAAAAAAACATTTCCTGGCTATACTCACATGTTAAGTATGCCACTTATTTGGATAAATCTTTAGAATTATGATTTAAATACCTACTTAAAAGATTTTGATGTTTTCTAACACTTAATTGAAAGGGCCTTCTCGGTGGGCGCAGCAGTTGAGCCCTGGGTTGCAAAGCTGCCTGCAGCCTCTGCAGCGCCGGTTCGCTCCCAGGCTGCTCCCGGCCACTAGAGGAGGGTCCCACATTGCGCGCAGACCTCTCCTGCCGCCCGCTGCGCCCCTCAGCAGTGTGCTTTGGTCCTTCTGCCTGTTCTGCTCCCGCTCTGGTGAATTCTCTCACCCTCCCTTGCTTCTGACTGTACCCAGTGCTATAAATAAATAAATAAATCTTAAAAAAAAAAAAAAAAAAAAAAGGACACAAAAACCTTAAAAAAAAAAAAAAAAGGAGTTCCAACTAATTGGAACATATATTATGTTTTACTGTTAGTAGAATAAGTAGAATATCATGAACCACCAAGGTTCACAAGTTAGACAGTAATTTGTCATCTCATGAACTGTAATAAAATGTTGAAATGAAGCAAGCAAAGGAAACTAAGTTTTTATAGTTGACTATAGGTATCATTTCATGAACTACAATTTTGTAATTCATATTTCCAGTTGTTTCATTAGCATGAATGAATGTATGTGTCAGATACAGAAAGAAATTTCTTCTTCTAAGCTCCCTACCTGTGGGCTCAAGCCTCCATTCCCCATTCTTTTCTATCTCCATTCTGCATCATATAACACCCCTTGAGTTTCAGATTCTAATTATTATTACCCTGAAACCTCTTGGATTTCCCTTAGGAATCTCCAACCCAATGTGTCCAAACTAAATGCCTAATCTGTTCTCCAAAGTCCTGGTCCTACAGTGTACCTTATGTCAAGGAATAACATCATTATCATCTAATTTTACAAATCTTTCCAGACCTAACATTGCTCACCATTTCCTCTGTCACAATCATATTCCAAGACATCATTATCCCTACCACAGATTATTCTCGTAGCCAGCTCACTTTGTTAAATGCACTCTTGGCCAACTCCAATTCAATATTCAAAGAGCAGCCAGAGAGATTTCCTTAAGAAACAAGTGTAATTATGTCACTCTCGTTCTTAAAATCCTTCCATGATTTTCCAAAATTCATGACAGGGCTCATAAGGTTGCTGTCTGCACCTTACTTTCCCTTGCCTGCTGAGCTTCATACTGTCCATACTGTCCATTCCTGGAATGAGCACTGCTTCTTCCTGTATTATAAGCACTATATAAATGTTATTCATTATTAATAATAAATAACCTTAAGCAAAAATTGTTGTCACATTTATTATTTATATTAACAGTATTACTGTTACAGAATAAGATTTTAATAATCATGTAAATATTAAAAATATATTTATTATCAACAGACAGCTTCATCAGATAATATTTACAAAGAAAACTTAACTGGTTACTTTAAGAAAGAACTGACATCACATTATTATGTGTTCTAATCTTTTGACATGAACCTTCTCATTATCAGGTATTTCATATGCCCTTTACTAAGTTTTATAGATGTTTCTCTAAAGGTCTACTATATTTCTTGTTAGCCTATATCTATAGTACTTTATCTGCAAATGATAGCTTCTTTAATCATTTCTGTGTTTTATTACAGTAGCTGGGAACTCTAGAAAATACTAAATAATTATGTTGATCTCCTTTAAAGGATCATTATTAATTCTGAGCTTTTCCCCAGATATTATATCCATTGAGTTACAGATAAAGTTAATTAACTATGGTTGCTTTATTTTTTATTTCTATTTATGATTTATCCTAATGACTTTTTAAACTTCGTTTGTGAATTTATGCAAGGGTTGTTGTCTTTAAAAAATTCCCCCCCGCACCTAATTCAAAAGTTTTTATTTTTGTTAACCTAAAAGAATTTTCAAACATACTCTTAATTAAATATGTTTACTGACAATACTAGATGAGTGTTTTCCAAGCTGTGAGTCACGACTCATTAGTGGGCCATGAAATCAATTGACTATGTAGATCACTATCAGCATTTTAAAGAAATAAAATTGTATAAAATATATAGTGTATCACAAAGATCCTTGACAATAACTATATTGAATATTAATTCACTTTTTAAAATAACATCTTATTACATATATAAGGCTAAGTACTGTTTTTCAAAGGGTTTATTTTAATTATTTACTTGTATAAATGTATTCATGTAGTGACTGATAACATGAAATGTTTTTTTACTTTTTGTCACAGCTCAAAGTTTGAAAAACACTGATCTTAGAGTTAATCAGTTTCTACACCTCCCCATTCCAAACAAAGCATAAAACCACCACCACACTTAGTTCCTATAGGTGCCCCACCCCCTCCCACTACCTACCCACCCCTAAGTTGTTAAGAGTATGGAACTATAGGTGTTATTTTAATTAAAAATGTAAGTACTCAACTTATTTAAACTTAACAGTAAGGTTGACTAATTTCTTTGCTCACCATGGCCTCTTGTCCCGGACAGACTCGTTCCGGTTTCATATATCTTCTTTCTGGAATACGTCCTTTAGTAATTCTCTCATAGTAGCTCTGTGGGTAGTAAACTTTCTGAGTCTTTGAAATGTTGGCAAATGGATTTATTTATTCTTCCTACTTTGACTGGGTATAAAATTCGAGGTTCTTTTAATAAAGATTCTCTCCAGGGAAGGGGAGAAGGAGAAGGGAGCCAGGGACAATTGAAATTTGGGTTGATAGCTGAAGACTTTACCTAACTTATTTAGAATTTGAAACTATTTACTTACACATATGTATTTTTTCCCTCTCTTATCACTGTTTCATATTTAAATTTCTTATTATTTAAAAAATCTAAAGGAATGAACTTACATATTCATAGTGTAATCAGAAAATAAAAAGGCCACTTACATGTAAGGGGGAGCTCGGATCAATTCTAAATCTTCTAGGGCTTGGACTTCTACCAAATTTGCAGCCATTGAAATACATACTCCATGAACAGCCAAAAGAGAATGAAGCACCACAAGTTTCTGGATCAATCCCTTGACATGTGCAGGTACGACTGTCAGATAGCAACAGCAAAGGAATGAAATGATAAAGCAGGACAATATCTCACACACAACATTTCAGATTCATGTAGCTTTAGAAGTACAGATGGCAAAAAAGTTGATTTTAACATCCTTTTATTCACTATTTTATTTAAAGTATTGTTAAGTTAACACAAAGGTAAGTGTAATTGTATACAACTGAACTTTTAACTAAAACGTTCAAGCTTATAAATATAAATAAATAGCAATGAATTATAAATACCTGAAATATTTACAACTTTTTTTTTGATTAGAAGTTCAAGGGAGGGAAATAAAGGAGCTTGTTAGGGCCTTCAATGGTAAAATGACATTAATATAATCCTCTAAGGGTTGATAAAGAATAGTTGATATTATATGTGAAATAGCTTTGTCAATTTTAAAGAAAGCCTTCATGAATTCCACAAGAGAAAAAATTGAGTTCACTCAGGAACTTGGTAATTGCAGGAATTATCGATAGAAAGATATGAAATCCAGCAGGTAACATACACTCTTGTTGTTCTTATTCACATAATGCTTAAAACTTCTAATAACATAGTTCTTGTGCATATAATGACTTGGAGCAATGCAGAAAGGATCATTTAAGATATTATGAGGAAAAGAAGGTGATAAAGAATAGTTTAAACTTTCTAACTTCCCCCAAATCTTGTCACAAAGATGAAAATGTATTTTAAAATAGCAAAAATTACAATAATTTTTCATGAGAAAGAATAATGAGATGCAAATGGGATCAAAGGTGTAAAACTGAAATGGCAGAAGGAATATAAAGTTTTTAAATGAAAAAATAACTATTACTGTTGAACTAATACATGGAGAGAAAAACATAGTTAACTGTTGTTAATTATTTAAAAAATCAAACACACAGGAAATGTGAAAAATTGTGAGAACTTGCAGAACTTCTGCAGAACAAATTAAAGTCAACATCACAACAATGGGACAAGTTGACTTGAAATAACTCCTTATAGTGTTGACTGAGTGGAGTAGTCCAGCTAAACGTTTGTATGATTTAATTGAATCAGGAAGAAACAACAATCCAAAATTGAACAGAAGTTCCCTTTAAAAAATCAATATCATGAAAGACAGAAAGAGAAAAAAAGGACAGAAAAAACCTGATATTTAGGGCCTAAGGCCAAAAAGATAAAATAACCTAATTAATCAAATCTTGGATGGAGGAAATTTGAATATGAACTGTAGAGTAGATAACAGTATATTCTGATTTTGACAGTTGTAGTTGGGATATATAAAAAAGTATTCTTGGGCCTCCCTGGTGGCTCAAGAGGTTAAACACAGTGCTGTGCAGCTCTCTGTAGCCTTTGCAGCACGACTTGGATGGCCACATGGCCAGCAGACCTCTCCTGCCTCGCCCGCTGCTCCCCTCAGTAGTGTATTTCAGTCACTCTGCCTGTTACGTTCCCCACTCTGTCTCTGGTGAATCGTCTCACCCTCGTGTGCCTCTGTCCTGTACCCCAGTTCTTGTATGCACAAATAAATAAATAAATAAATAAATAAATTTAAAAAGGGTATTTTCATTCTCAAAAAATGCCTATTTAATTGATATTTGGGGGGAAGGAATAAAGTCTGCAACTAGCTCACAAATAATCCAGAAAAAAAAAAAAGCAATAATGTGTGTATGTCTGATGATATGTATAAATGGAAATGTAAAGAAAAGTTAACAATTATTGAATATAGATGAGGGGAATATAAGAGTAAATTAAAGTATGTCTGCATCCTTTATGTAAATACAAACATTTGAAGAGTTAAAGTTATTCTTAATTGTTACTGAATTCATGGGTAGATTAAATAAATATGTATGTATATTCTATAGAGCAAGTGTCTTCATGAGAGGTATGTTATAGTGCATCAAGAAGACAAACTAATTAGCAGACATTAAAAATAATGTATACATACATATTTGTTAGCATAGGAAAAATGTAATGAAATTATGATATAATAAGCATAAGGAATGCTTTAGGTGGTATACAAATTAATCTTGTGTGGGGATTAGAGAAAATAATCTATATTTTTATTTATATCTTGTACAATGAAAGACCTACATCGACAAAACATTCTTGATGAGTACAAAAATAAACTTGAACAAATGAAAAGAAAAGTAATGTTATGGAATAGGAAGACTAAATATCATAAAGATGTCAGTTTTTCAAAGGCAGCATTTTTTTTTTTTGGAGATTTATTTTTTATTTATTTATACAAGAACTAGGGTACAGGCCAGATGTGTGGGAGGGTGAGAGGATTCACCAGAGACAGAGCGGAGAACAGAACAGGCAGACTGACCGAAATACACTGCTGAGGGGAGCAGTGGGCGTGACAGGAGTGGTCTGCTGCGCCATGAGGGATCCTCGCCGGCTGGCCAGGATCCAACCAACGCTTTGAGGCTGTGGACAGCTTCATAGCGTGGCGCTAACCACCTGCGCCACCAGGGGAGGCCCTAGAGGCAGCATTTCAATCAAAGGGAAAAGAAAGACATTTTAATAATTAATGTTGGGACATGTGGGGAAATAAGGATGAAAATGGATCTACTTTAGTACTATTGATGAGCATTCCAATTTAAATATGTCAGGGATTCATGTTTTTAAAAAATTTACAGTTGAAATTAAACAAAAACATGAGTGAATTACTCTAAAAGTCACAAGAAAAAAAATATTCTAAATAACAATACTCAGACAAATTTAAGGAGAAATGTATATTAATTACATTAATTATATTAAAAAAAGAAAACTTTTGCCAAGGATGACATAGCAAAACTAAAAATATAGTGAAATTAGTAAAAGTATACACAAATTATATCATAGACAAAGGGTTAATAGTCCCACTATGTCACAGTAATCCTATTTGTGAATGGGCTAGAATGGAACTGATGGCTGAACAACAAAAGAATAAAAAGAAAAAATCTCTAGAAGTAGTAAATGGTTCTTAACCAAAATGAAAATATTCTTATAATGTGAAAAATGCAAACCAAAATTAACCTATCATTTACCACCTATCAAAAGGGCAGAGACTCAGTCTGACAACAAAGACTAGCAAAGCTGTAGGGAAACTGATTTTCTTGGACACTGCTAAAGGAGGAGCTTTTGCCTTTATGAAAAATCCCTCTCCCTCCAGATTGTAGGGGTGAGTGGCATCAGGTATCTAAGAGGGAAAAAAAAAATTCAAAAGAATATCCTAAGACTGCCTAATTTATTGTTAGGCTTTCTTTAAAGAAATGTTCATTTTAGTGCCACGCTAAAATCCTGTTCTCTCCTGCAATATACCTAGTTTGTGGTTAATTAATAAATGGACATTATATAGAGAGGTCTGAAAGCAGTTGAAAAAACTCATTTGATTACTTTTCATTTAGAGTGCATCTGCGGTCGGTGGGGTGGCCATTGTAAGACTTGAGGTTTTCCGTGAGCTCCGTGTACAACCTGTCAGCCATCGGGAGCGGGATGCCATCCCACACCATGATGAGCACCACCATCACAGCTGTTGGACAGTGGTGGCCTGTGCGCTGCCGGACCAAACAAAGGACTTTCTCTTCATCGCTGCTTCTTCTTAAAACCTAAAAAACCACAGTGCAATCATTTATGTAAAACAAAAATCCTAAAGGCAAATTCAATGGGTATTCCTTTGAAAGCTGTGTATATTTTGTGTATATGTGTGTGTATATATGTACACACATGTATACAATAATTACTATTTTTCAGAAAGCTGAAGGTTATATTACCTTTAGCTGTCAGACTAACCAGTTCCACAGAACTCAACAAACCATATGCCAGGTTACCGGAATAACAAACAGGTAGAACAGAAATCTTCAGTATGTGGTTGTTATTATAAAGTAAAACAAAGCAGTCTCTGTTTCACTTTACTGCTGACACAGAATTGCAAAACAGGTAACAGGGGATCGGAGGAAGACCTCTGCTCTTCCCCTTATTACACACCAGGACAAATCTACCCATATAGAAATAAGCACGGACTGCTCCCAACATTAAAAATTAAGTTGAGCACCAAAACTTAGCATCTGAAGAAACATACAGATGTTTTCCCTGGGGGACTGGTTTTACTCTGAGAAATAATTAAAATATAAAGCAATGTTGCTGAAATTCCTATGATTTTTCATGCTATCAGAAGACTTATTATACCCATTTTATTTATAAGATGAATGTGGCCCATCTGCCTAGGGGAATGCAAAAAAAAAAAATAATTAAAAAAAAATAAATTAGTGCCTCCTTGGTGGCGCAAGGGGTTAATAAGCACAGCACTATGAAGCAATCCGCAGCCTCTGCAGCACAAGTTCAATCCCTGGTTGGCCAGGGAGCAATCTACATGGCGCAGCAGACCTCTCCTGTGTCACCCGCTGCTCTCCTCAGAAGTGTACTTCAGTCGATTTTCCTGTTCTGTTCCCCACTTTGTCTCTGGTGAATCCTCTCAGTTCCTGCACCTCTGGCCTATACCCCTGCTCTTGTACATATAAATAAATAAATCTTAAAAAAATTACATTTTAGGGCCTCCCTGGTGGTGCAGCGGTTGAGCGCTGGGTTGCGAAGCTGCCCGCAGCCTCTGCAGGGCCGGTTCGATCCCCGGCTGCTCCCCGGCCACCGGAGGAGGGTCCCACATGGCGCACAGACCCCTCCTGCCGCCCGCTGCTCCCCTCAGCAGTGTACTTCGGTCCTTCTGCCTGCTCTGCTCCCTGCTCTGGCTCTGGTGAATTCTTTCACCCTCCCGCGCTTCTGACTGTACCCAGTGCTTAAATAAATAAATAAATAAATAAATAAATAAATCTTTAAAAAAAATTACATTTTAATATTTATCCATTTATCTTATATTGAATCACACTCATAGGGTACCAAAAAGACTTCAGAAATATTTAACATATTTCTTAGTGGTTTTAGGGTTTATTTTAAAAATAAATCACATAGAAATGTTAACATCTCATAAAACCAACTGTTTAAAACTCTCTCCACATATAACAAGTTAAAAGAGCAGAGAGATTGACTACAATTAATCAGTACAAATCAGTAATGTGATTAAAAAATGATAAAATTGCTCATCTGTGTGACCAAAATGGAGCAACAAATAGCATATGTAGTATTTCTTTTCTGTTGTTGCTATAACATATAAACAAGATTAAACTTCTTACGATGTTAGTTGCCCAATATCACTTCTTTTGTACTTTAGGTGGTTAACAATCATTGCTACCAAGGCATCCCTTGAGTAGAGAACTTTAAGACATTCCCCTAAACACAATTAGTTATATTAATTTCCCCCCTATATTTGTATGTACTTTTACACTCATATAAGAACACAATGCTTAGAAATCAGCTCATACAATGATAGAAATCATATCACACAAAACTATACCAGGTGATTTTCAAATTGTCAAACAATAAAGTTGTATCGAGTCAGTCTTTGTATTGGAAATTCTAAAGTGCAATTTATTCATTGTTTATTGTGCTTTTCCCAGATTTACTTCAGTGAACAATAGAAAATTAAAGCATAATGGCCAGTAGTTGAATTTCTAAATTCAGATCTAGGTCCAATAAGTTGGACCTAGATACATTGCCATGGTACGAATATTTGTGTCCACCAAAAATTAACCTATTAAATCCTAAGGTCTGATATGATGGTGTTAGGATGTGGCTCCTTGGGAGGAGATTAGGTAATGAGCATATTCATGAACTAGAATAACCATTATTATAATGATGTCCATTTCCCCCAGATTTCTAGATTTGATATAATCCCAATAAAAATCCTGTCTGAGTTTGTTTTGTTTGGGGAGGCAACTGACAGACTGGTTTCAAAGTTTATATTGAAATGCAAAGGACAAAAAAGAGCCAAGAAAAATGAACAAAGAAAAATTAACTTGCCACATACCAAGATTTAGTATAAAGGGCCTCCCTGGTGGTGCAAGGGGTTAAGACACAACCTATGAAGCTATTTGCAGCCACTGCAGCACACGTTCGATGCCTGGCCAGAGGGCTACCCACATGGTGCAGCAGATTTCTCCTGACTTGCCTGCTACTCCCCTCAGCAGTGTATTTCGGTTGATCTGCCTGTTCTGTTCCCTACTCTGTCTCTGGTGAATCCTCCCAACCCCCCCCCACACCTCTGGCCTGTACCCCAATTCTTTTTTTTTATTTTATTTTTTTAATAGAGGCATGTTTTATTTATTTATTTATTCATTTGTTTGTTTTTGTTTATACACACACTGGGTACAGTCAGAAGTGCAGGAGGGTGAGAGAATTCACCAGAGCCAGAGCGGGGAGCAGAGCAGGCAGAAGGACCGAAGTACACTGCTGAGGGGAGCAGCGGGCGGCAGGAGAGTTCTGCGCGCCAAGTGGGACCCTCCTTCGGTGGCCGGGGAGCAGCCAGGGATCGAACCCGCGCTGCAACCCAGCGCTCAACCGCTGCGCCACTGGGGAGGCCCTGTACCCCAATTCTTGTATGCATAAATAATCTTTAAAAAAATATGGGCTTATAATAAACAGCACTACATAAATATCTGTATGAGTCAAAAAAATGAATCTGGATCCCTATTTTAGCAGAGTAACTTGAGTTACAATATAGATCTAAATATGAAAGAGAATAAATTTTTAGAAGAAACTATCTTCATGACCTTAGAGCAAGAAAAACAAAAAATACATTTACCAAATTTACTTATCATAAAGGAATAAGAAATTGGAAATATTAAAGTTCAAAACATTATCCAGCAGAATAAGAAAGTGAAAAGGCAAGCAATGCAATGGAAAAATATTTGTAATACATATAATTAGCAAAATTTTCTTTTCTAATGTATAAAAAAAATTCTCCAAATGAGTAAAAAGAAAAGCACAAGAGGAAACCAACCAAAAGTACTGAATGGACTCAACAAAAGAAAATACAAAAGATAATACCCCTAATAGATGATGATAATGTGTTCAACATTATTAGTCATCTAGCAGAGGAACAAAGGAAGGGAGGGAAGAAGGCAGGCAGGCAAGCACTACATATATTGGTGGAATATAAAACGTATCAACAGCTAGGGTAACCGGTATGGATGTTCCCCATAAAATTAAAACTAGAATTACCATGTGATTGATCCAGCAATTCTACTTCTGAGTATATGTACCTTAAATAACCAAAAGCAGGGTCCTGAGCAGCTATCTGCATACCCGTGTTCACTGCAGCATAACTCATACAGTCCAGAGGTGGAAGCAAGCCAAGGTTCATTGACAGATGAATAGACAAAATGTGGTATATACACAATGGAATATTAGTCAGACTTTAAAAAAAAGACCCCAAGGACACAATGCTAAGTGAAATAAGCTTGTCACAAAAAAGACTAATACAGTATATTTCCACTTACATGCTGTATCAAAAGTAGTCAAATTTGCAAAAACAAAGACTGGTGGGTACCAGAAACTGAGGAAATAGTGATTTAATTCACAGAGTTTTAGATTTGCAAGACAAAATGTTCTGGAGATATGCTTCACAATAATGCAAATGTACCCACACCACTGAACTGTTCACTTAAAAATGGTGAAATGTTTAATTTTATATTATGTTTTTGTCACAATAAAGACAAAACAGGTTTTACTTTTATTTTAAATTAAGCTAATACTGGTTTACAACTTTGACTGTATTTTAAAGATCCAGAATCTCACTCTTTAGGTGTTTAAAATGCCACACCCACCACCAACACACCCAAAAGACATTTTTAAAAAGTACTTCACATCAGGGCCTCCCTGGTGGGGCAAGGGGTTAAGATGCAACCTGTGAAGCTATCCATAGCCACCACAGCATGAGTTCGATCCCCGGCCAGGGAGTTTCCACATGGCACAATATACCTCTCCTGATTCGCCCGCTGCTCCCCTCAGCAGTGTATTTCAGTCATTCTGCCTGTTCTGTTCCCCACTCTGTCTCTGGTGAATCCTCTCATCCCTCACACCTCCAGTCTGTACCCCAGTTCTTGTATACATAAATAAATAAATCGTTAAAATGAAAAAGATGGCATAAAAAGAAAAAGATAAAAAATATGAAGTATAACAATGTGGGAAAGCTATGTTACTATCAACCAAAGCTGCACAGATGCAGTCCCACACAAACCAGTAATTCCTTTTGTTGGTATAGAATAGAAATGTACTCTAACATTTCCTAAAGATAGCATCACAATTCATAACTATCCCTAACTGGAAACAACCCAAATGTCAATGACTGGAAGAATGCTTCAATAAATTTGATTTACTTGTAACCACAGTAAGAATGCCCTATAGTTGCAAACAACATGGATTTATCTCACCATTATAATGCTGCATGACAGAAGACAGAAATAAAGCAACACTTACTGGTGATTCTATATTTGTGTAAAGTTCAAATCTGTCAATATTAATCATTAATGTTAGAAGGCAGGAGAGCAGTTACTTTTAGGGGTAGCTAGTGACTGGGAGGAGGCAAGAAGAGTACTTCTGAGGTGCTAGTAATATTGGCTGCTGTTCCAAGAATGTGTTCACTTTAGAAAAATTTTGCAACTTTAGGATTTCTGCAATTGTCTGCACATATGTTATAGTTAAATAGCAAGTTTAC